ATAAACAAACAGTAACAACAAAATATTATTGGAAAACAACCCCAAAATATTTTTGGCCGTTTTAGGCCGGGGGGCAGCTGCCCCCTCAGGAAGCCGAGTGAGGCAGTCGACGCCTGCTGCAGCTCCATGGCCTCCTGCTCCCCCTTCTCCCTCCCTGGCTTTTGGATGTCCTCCCTGCTGGCACGTCGCACCTCCTTCCTCTGCATCCCTCCTTCCGCTCCCCGTCTCCATCCCACCTCCAAACCTAACCCTCCTGGCTTTTGCCCCAAGCAAGGAGCGTGGGCAACACCCCTTTGGGGTGCGAGGGGGAAGGAGATGGTGGGACAGAGGACACGAACGACCCAGGAAAAGCAGCTCTACCCCGGCCAGCAGACAGGACAGCTCGTCTCCAACTACCCCTCGCACCCCACCGAAACCAGAACAAAATCCACAGAGGCTCAATCCGCCTATGTACGGCCACAACCACGGGCTGTCTTCCCATGCTCTTTTCTTACCCTCCATGCATCTTGCAACCAGCCTGGGGACGACCTGGCTTCGTGCCACTTGAAACACTAATTGATGGCAGTGACCTGAGTCCCAGTCCCACCTCGCCTACGCAAACGCACCACCAACCTCCTCCCGGCTAGTCTGTAGCTAAAGATCCCACCAAATGCTCATCTGGGGACATTGTGCATTTCATTTTTTTTGACTAACTAGAGGTTTTTTTCCTTTTATTCTTACTTCAATACGATTTTGCCATTGGGATTTTAAGTGTGCAGTGAAAAAGTGCATCGACCTGAAAAACAAATGTACATTTCTATATACAACATCTGTAACAGCAACATATCTAGTGGGTATGAAAACAGGTTTCAGTATCCTCCACAATTTACAAACTACATTAGAAAACACCATCCATTATTAGCAGACGTCTTAGGTGCAATGCCTGTTGCAGAAAGGACCCAAATTATACACACGAATTATATCACAATAGTGCATAGAGAGATGCAAAAATCCTTCTTCCAAGGAACAGTTACATTGCCCGACATAAAACAAAAAGTGGGAGAAGCCCCAAACAAGAAGTGTAAGGCCATTGCAAAGAGATCACCTTGCACAACCAGTGAGAAGCAGAGCTACCACGGGGCGTGAAATCCTGCGGGATTCCCTGAGGGAAATCCTCCTCGCAGCACTTCAAAAACGAGTCCGTGAACTAGACCTGAGCAGACCGTCCCCCCCCAGCACCGAGCCCCGCAATGCCTTTGTGGCAAACGCGGAGCAGCACGCTTCATCCACCATTTCTGCGCCTTGCTTTCTTATTTAACTTGTTCGACTGCATGAACCCAACCCGTGGGCTTTGCCTGTCAGCGAGCGCTCACAGCCAGGCTCCGCTGGTCATCAGCGGCTGACCCCAGCACAGTCTTCCCTGAATCCGTTTCGGGAGGACAGGAGGCAGATGTCTTGAGTCATGACCCTCCTGCCACTCTGAGCATCTAGATTTGCAGCCGTTGTTGTTCCTAAAGGAAAGGGCAAGGGACGATAAACAGGGGAGCAATTGAAACAGAGACTTCTTGTACAGAAATTCATACTTAAACCTCATTCAGAAGGGAAACACTAAGACCATTCAGAGAGAAAAGGCAAATTACAATTTCTCTACAAGAAGCTGAGAACACGAGGACTCTTGCAACAACTCATAACAAATAGGCTACTTCATTTATTGTTTATTTCCCCATATGAATGAATCAACCATCTCGGAAACTCCATCACACACAGGGCAGAAAAAGTTATTTACAAGAGTGACATACATCCCCAAAATAAGTTTAAGGTGTACAGATTTATAATGGGAACCAAGAGGGAGGGAAGAGGACAAAACCAAACACAAGGACATTGCAGTCAGACTTTGACTTTCAGTTACAGAAGAGATCTCTTTCTCCATGTAAGTGGGGTTTTCAACTATTAAATAAATGGCATCTTAAAAATAGAACATTTCACAATTCCAACACATGTATTATTTCTTCTAAATAAATATTGCATGGAAATGATGCTGCTTTGCCACCATAGCTGCCTTCTCTCCTTCTGGGACTCGATCATCACCTCTGTTTTTCCTTGGATTCATGGTTCTGTTTCCTAATGGCAAATGCTATTTCCTCCACTTGTGTTTTGGTTTGGGGTCTTTTTGTTTATATTTTTGTTTTGTTTTTTTAAAGGCCTGAACAGGCCTGAGTGAAAACGATGAGCATCTTTCCTAACCCTTTGCAGGCCTCTGACCTGGCTCAAGGTTGAAATACGATGGCTTTTTAAAAATTACCTATTATTTAAACAGTCTTCTCCATGACCTGAAACAAAACATAGCTTCCTGCTATGTAGCTTGGTACTGATGCTTCCACAGATCGCTTTTGAAATGAGAGCCCCCAAATAGCCCCCCGCATGCCTGTGACACGAACTGCCCGTGATCTCGTTTCCTCCGAAGCCCGTGGGAGTTTGCCCTGGGAGCAGGAGCAGCCCTTGCATGACCGCCTACCCATGGCAGCAGAGCCTGTGCTGCCTTTTCCCAACTGCAAAGAAGCAAGTGCCAGTAGTTCATCTGTCTTCACGGGGTGTCTTCTTACTGACTTTGCTCGCCCGACGCCCTTGCATGAGCTTTCCTAGGAGCAGGGCAACAGATTATCGCTATCTGGGCAGCAAAGTGCCCAAAGGGCAGGCGAGGACAGGACCTGGTGCACCCGTGGGCTGCACCAAGCTGGATGCAGGAGGGGAGCAGCCACACGCCCTGCCTGGGGGGTTGCAGCAGGCGGTCCCCACCCCGGGGCGGACAAGCTGGGAGCAAGCGGCTCGATGGGAACCTGGCCTGGCAGCAGGGAGGGAGATGGGTGCACGCGAAATGAAAGTAGCGGGGGGACCCGTGTCCCTGCTTCACCTTACGCTTACCCCTAACACTCTGCTACGGTTCTTGCAGACTCCCACAGCAGTTTTCAGGTTCAATAAAGCTTTCTTCCCTCCTGCCTCCTCCTCAGCTGGTGATCCTAAAACTAGCTTTGTCTGAAGACAAAGTCAGAAGAAGGCATCGACCCACCAGTCTGGAATCGAGCTCCAAAGTGCACGTCAAGCCTTCAGGCCGGCTGGCCATCCCTGTGCTTCCTGAGAACAAAACAGTTAACGCTGAGCCTCTCTCTGTCCCTGGCTTACTCGGAGCAGTCGCTCCTCCAGGGAGGAGGAGTGCAAGTGAAGTTTGATAGGTAAAATAGGGAGGGGGGGACATGGACCTTCCTTCCACTGGTTAGGGCAGCTTATCCCTGAAATGCACTAAGGCTTTTAATAAAGTGAACATAAAAGGACAGTCCCTTGAAGGTGCGGGAAGACCCAGCCAGGACCCCGCTGGTCCTGCGCTGCCAGGGGAGGCAGGGGAGAGCTCCCTTGTGCTCGGGACTAGGGCAGAGCTGCAGCAGGCTCCTGCCAGCTCCTCCCAGAGGCAAGATGACTCCAGGTTTCCCCATGGCAGGGGCCATTTCTACAGAAACGACTTTTGGAAATGCAGACCTTTTGCTGATATTTATTTACTGTCCATTTTCGTGAGCCTCGAAACCACAAGCAGGTATTTTACAAAGAGGGTACCCACTGCACATGTGCAGACCTGTTCCTCCATCCTGAAATTATGTGGAAAAGGGAGCGCATTCCTTCCTGTAAGCACAATTATTTTGGGATACCATCCTTCTCTTTGCCACTCCCACGGGTCTGTCAGAGATAGGGCAAGGGATGCGAGAGGGGACCAGAGAGCTAAGGCACACTATTAGATAACGAGGATGGCAGGACGCTGCTGTCACACAACAGGAAATCTTTGGGTAGAGAAGGGTGTCGTCTTACTGAATACATGAATGTCGCGGATGCCGCCTTCACTGTTACTGCCACTTGCAAATTGCAATTTCAAAAATGCAGCTCCTGACAAGGAAAAAAATGCTTGCAAACAGCTAAGTATTCCCTTTCGTGTTCCCTTGACAGATTTCTAAGTCGCTGGGCCCATCCTGTAGTTTGGTTGAGAAAGAGCATGTGAGTTATCATCACGTGAAGGATGCCCTACTTTGGTACCAAATCCTGCCCTTAGACACTCACCAAGACCAGCAACGGTTGCAGGCAAATATCCAAATGCAAAATTTGTCTTATGTTCCACACTCAGCCACTTAGTCCCTCCTTAAACAGAAGCGATTCCTCCCCGTGTAAGCTCTCAGACTCAGAACAATGTCCAAGCAATCACAGTGACCCAGTACAGCTGTCCACCCCCACCCATCAAAACGACAAAAAGCAACCGGACGAGGAGTCCTCAGTGTGAGTGACATCCCTCCACCGCAGAAGAGAGGCAGAGCTGTTTCCAACCACACCTGGTTATTTTGCCACCCCAGCTGGGTTTGGCTTACAAGGCTTAAACTGAGCAAGACCCTAAGTAACATAGTTCAAGTGCTAAGGGCATGTGTGTGCATGAGTGCATGGCAAGGAGGAGGACCAAAGCAGCCATGACTTAAAAAGGTGAACTTGCAGCACTGAAGGCAGTGGCTTCCCCTGATTCTCAGGATAGCAGCTGGCTGACAAATGCAGGAGGGTGAGGTTGGAAAGCAGGCAAGGCAGACCACTTTGCTGTTTTTATTGTAACATAATGCTGTTTGGTGCTGATGAGGTTGCTACTTGCCATCTGAGGAACAAAGACACCAAAGATTGCATCCGTGCTTGCAAAAACACTTCTTTGACATGTCTTCTGGGCACACAACTGTTGCAGACTGTGGGATGTTGCATAATAACCTCTGGAGGCAGATTTCCTTCCTGTCGGCACTTCTTCATGTGTGATTATTGTCCTGCTGGTTATTCATAATAGAAATGTTTATAGACCATCAAAACATTGAGCCATTCAGACAATTCATTGCACTTCGTCATTTTAAAGGAAGGTGCCATCAACACTGAGGCTTTCCTCCATCTCTTCTTTTTCAAGGCAGCAAAGCGCTGCCCTAAAAACACAGTTCAAAATTTTTCCAGTGTAACCAGATTCCTTCCACCTTGATTTATTTTCCCTTGCAGGTGCTTTGTATCCAACGATTCAACAAATCAGACTGTTTCTGAGGCTTCAAAAGTGCAAAAAAGTTCAAGGTACTTAACCTCCTTGAGCACCAGTTAAGGCGTATTTGTTTCCAGTCTCAGCCACTGTAAACCCTGTCTAGTGTAGTGTACCAGTTCGGCCATGCTACTGTTCAGTGCCAGAGCACACGTCGCTGTGCTGAGTTCAGCAAAAAACTCTGGAAAAAGGGGAGGGAAAGTTAAAGAGAAAACATTTGGTTGGTTTCACACAACAGGCATGTCTGACAGGCGAGAGGAGCGACAACAGCAGCACACTGCCCATCGGCAAGTCCCCTTAAACACATCGTTAATGCAGAGAGCTCAGCAATAGCTCAGCCTTCCCAGAAGGCTGGGAAGCATAACAAGCACACAAGGCAGGGCACGTCAGAGGAAAACGCACTCACACACGCATGCACACACTGAACCGCCTCCCCAAGCACTGGCTTTAAACGCACATCGAGACTCCATGGTACGTGGGCAAAAGTTTGGGTGTTCACACCCCAGTCCTTGCTGCATGCTTCCCCCAGATTTTAAACAGGCCAAACTGGAGTGTCTTTCTGAGCGATGCCTGAAAGCACACACAGCGGTCATCGGACTGGTCCCTTTCCTTCATCCGTCCTCAAACCTTGGAGACACCATGATTTCTCAACCGAACCAGTTTAAAAATCTGTACAGCTTGCCAGGATATACAGCTCTGATTTGGGTTGCTTATAGCTGGGCACGTCAGGCAGATTTAACAGAGCCCTCCTATCCTGTCACCAGCTTCAGGCACTGTGCTCCTCCTCCTGCATGGGCAGGAGATGGCTCTTGCAGCATATCTGAACCTGCCGGCAGGCTGCACGCCTTGCTCTGTGCTGGCAATCATCTGTGCAGGTGACAGCGAGTTCCAGGAAATTATCACACCTATTCCTTTCCAGTCACCTTTCCAAGACATTCCTGCATGACCTGCCTTCCAGTGACATGGGCTCGTCCCAGTACCTCCATCCCTCCAGCCTCAATCGTGTTGCCAGTTACCTTTTCAGAAACTGGCCATTCTCAGCTCTCCTTTTTTTTTTTTTTTTTTTTTTTTACACATAAAGATTGAACCCGGAGGCCGAAAATTTCTGCTTGGCTGTGCAAGGAACTCTTCAGAAGCAGAGAGCACGATGCTTTCATTTTAATACTTTCCAATTCAGAAGCACAGAACACATTTCCCCTGATTTTCCTGCTTGTTTACAAAATGGGTGTCCATTCCCTCCACGGGGAACAGAAGAGCTGTAAGCAGAGACAAGGAGTCCAAACCCTCTGTCTGAGCAAACAGAAGACAATCTGATCTGTGACCACAGCATCATGTGAAAGGAGAGCGACTTCACATGCGCAGGCAACCTCAGCTTGTCCTCATTGTGGGAGATCAGAGGCCGTAAGACAACCTGTTAAAGCCCCATGATCCATGGCACTGCTCTGAATTACAGCAGGGAGCTGGGTCCTGCGCTGGAAGCACCTGGTTGCGGACCCGCCAGAAAGCACTTCAGCTCTGCACCAGTGGCTCGGACATCAGTTACAACTAACTGCTTTCCACTAACTGATGACTTCCCTGTTTATGGGAACTCGATAGCTGAAGGCCACTGCTCTTTTCTCTTCTTCTTATGCCCTATGAATTGCATAAAAAAATCAAGGATGTGGCCTCTTTTTTAGTTATATGTACTTACTCTCTGTACCTCTTAGCATCTGTATGTTACACTGAAGATCGACAAGTTCCAGTTCTGAAACTCCTCCACTGTCCTGAACAGTGACAACAACTGCCAAGCCTACGTATTTACTGTTCTCCTGCACGCTGGGAGTCTTTACCACCCCAGTCATCATTCCCCTCCATTAAGACAGCAACACAGAGCAGGTTTTGAATTTAGTGAGGCTGCCCTGAATTCAGGCTGCTCTCCCACGGGTTTTTCTCCATGACTCATTCCTCTGGCTTACCAGCAGCATCCACCGCTCCTTCTATGTGACAGTCTTTTATCGGCCTTTTGAGGATATAATCCAAAATACTAAACATGAATTGCTGCTGCGAGCACAGATTTGCACAGAGGACAGCCAACAACTGGACTTACTTTATTCAAAGGTGACTTGCAAAGCCTGTTGAATTTCAGCAACTGCTGAAATTAGTGTGAGTATTTTTACAGCCTTCCAACAATTCAGCCAGGCACATCGTGCTTATTTTCTTTTGCAAGTTTGCCAGCAGATCATGGCAATACATCCCTTTGCCCACAGTAGCTCACAAAACTTTGTGTTTTATGAAAAATGACATTGCAAACGCCACGTGGGATGGCAGGCTACAGACTGAACTGCATGCTAAGGCTTTTGCTTGTTTGCCACTGCTTGTACCACAGGACAATACAACATTTTTAAGAACAAAAATGTAAAATACAAAAAGTAGCAGCGATTTTAGGAAATGCTACTGGCAAATACTGGTCATGTGCCCAGCAAGGACTCCAATTCAATTGCTGCTCAGCTACTCTATTATGGAGAGAAGCCAGCTTCACCGTTTTCAAGACAAAAATACCTGGAAGTTTGACAAACAAACTAAAACACAAGGCTACAGGCCAAAAAGCTGTTTTTAAAGAAGGTGAACCAAGTCAGAAAAGCTAAGTGCTCCGAAGGAAAAAACAAACAGCAAAAAATCCCCTTATGCTTCTTGTGTTACCATGAAGCAAGCTGGCTGGTTTCCTGCACTTGATACCCTCGTCCCTTAGCTCTTAGACATTTGAGGATGCCAAGACAACCTTTTAATTGGAACACTCATCAATATATCACCATCGAGTATCTCTGTCAATAACCTGCCAATATGCCATAGCTGTCTATTTCAACATATTTAATGCTTTGATCTTTAGGTATGGTGTTTGCTACACTGAGCGTTATGATTTAAGCAAGTACATTCATATAACCACAACACATAAGACAGAAAAGCCAGAGGGCAAAAACTTACCCTTATTCTTCCTGGCCAGTGCATCAGCCTGTTCCCAAATATCATACGCATAGAGGATATAAGAAGTTATGTTGACGTAGGAAGAGGTGATGCTTGGGATATTACAGGGGACAGTGATTGAAGAGCCAATGCTGCTGCCACTGCAGTTGGTAGCATTTGATCCCGGCTGAGAACTCACAGAACCGGCAGGAGAGGGCATTGGAGAAAGAGGAGAAGGCATGCCTGTGCTTCTGCAGGAGAAAGAAACACCATCCTGAACGTTTGACTTCAGAGTTAAAAGTCTTGCCACAAGACTACCTTAGGCCAGCAGCTATCCGGGGTCATCCAGGCCTGCAGTATGGAGTGGAGTGTTGAAAACCGAGATGTGTGCAGCTACGTAACAAGTAATTGTCCTTCGAGTGCAAGGCCAAGGTTTTTGAAGTGATCTGCGACTCTAAGGACTCCTCTCGATAAAAGAAAATGCAGGAGCAGACATCAGAAAGGACCACCCATACACCTTCCAAAACCTACGCCTACTTGTGGAAGACTTCACCGGATTATCTAAGTGGTTTTTCCTAATGACTTCCATTTCAGGCATGCTGAAGCTCCTCACCTATGGAGGCTGGAGCTTTCTGACAGCTAGTCAAAGCAGCCAGGTCAGCCTACACACACTTATTTATAGACCTAGGGAAGCTAAATGTGGTCAGCTGCCCGCCTTCCAGACACAGGCTGGCCTCATCAAATCGCTTCACCCCCACCACTTCACCCAACCTAATTTTAGTCACTGGTATGAGAGGGCTTCCACCGCTGCTCTTGGGAGACCGTTTACTTTCCAATAAACTATACTGTGCAAGGTGGCAGTAAAATAACTGGAATTTCAGCATCACTATTAAAGACCAAACAACCCTCTCTCAACCGCAGAGTTTAAAAGGGACAGACGTGGAGCCGCCTAGCTATCTGCCAAATGCAATTACCACAGCACACAGAAAAACTCCTTCTTATTTATTGTCATTAAAACACAGGTCCAGTCTGCTGGGCATTGGGTCAAACACTGTTATGTGACAGCTTGCCTTTTACTTTTGCTGCCACATACACAACAACACTGCTGCAGATACACAGAAAGGACAAAATGCTCAATAACTTGCAAATTAGAAAATGAGTTTCTTTTTCATAATTGGTGACTGAGATAAAGAGAAAAATATTAAGGTATCACCTCAAAATTATGCTACCACAGGGTGAAGGCATAACCCTACTGGACAGTGGCCAGGGAGCTGGGGATGGTATCCCATTAAGTCTCAAAGGATCTCTAACAGAACAAAGATGACAACAACGGGGGCTCTGAAACAGCATAGCAATGATACCTTCCTTGCTCCTCTGACCTGCTTCTCTGGTGGAGAACTGCTCTGCTTGATATGCGGTAACTCTGGACCTCGTACTAAAAAAAGAAACCCTTTCCAACGAAAAGAGACAGGAAAGAGAGAGCAGAAACATATTCATGTCCCCTAAGAATATGATTTCAAGTGGCAGGAAAGAGCGAGTGGTGAGGCCCTCTCGAACGCAGCTTGCAACTCAAATACTCTGGCTATTGTTTTCACTCACACCCTTATAGACACATTACAACATATGTATTTTTAAATCTTACCTTGCAACACAGGGAGAAGGTGCTTGTGTTACTCTGGAAGAACTCTGCAGCAAAGGAACAGAACTCTTGTTAGATTTGGGCTGTTCAGCCGACAGCAGTAACTACCACAGCCATCCAGCTGGCAGCTTAGTAATATGTGTGCCCTACCTTGAAGTGGTCATTCAGGATCCTGGAATACTTTATTGCAGTGTCTTTTTTGTAACGAAACATTGCCATGTGCAGAATGGACTGGCAGCGCATGCTGTGAACAGAAACACACCCAAGGGTCAGTGTTCACGCTCGCTGCTGCCTGCTCAGCCGTCATCAGCCTCGTGGAACGGAGGCAGGCACACATCTGTACTGCAAAGTCAAGAAAGCTCAGAATTTCTCCTCCTTCTGCTCATCTTAAAAAAAAGAATCTGTGAAAAAATCACAAGGGAAAAAAAACAAACGAGGAAGGGCCATGTCTGGTCTTTTATATAAACAGGTGCACAGCCTCTTATAGGTGCCACAGGCTGAGTAAGTCCCTATCCAGAAGTGCCTCAGCTATGTTCAGCTACAGCTTCAGTTACATGGCTCAAACGTGGGCAGCCAAATCACATTCTTTCACCTTAGGTGAAAGCCCTTATGCACTCTCAAGTTACCAGCAGATCAAATTTTAGAGCCTGTGCCTTCCACGTGTGGTCCCTTGTGATATCCCGGCTCACTTTAGAGATGTTCCAGTTCATTCTGGTTTTGATATTGTGGTTTTTTTCCTTGCAGAACTCTGATTCTCACTTAACTCATTCCTTCGCCCCTGAAAGTAATGGGTCTTTCACTCTATCAAGTCTAAAAACAGAATATGAAGGCACAGAAAACAGTTACGCACCATAACACGGCAAAGATTTTTTCATGTGAAGATGCTGAGGAGTCTGTAAAGGATTTCAATGTCATGATGAATCTAAGGAAACAAAATAAACAGAATCTTGTCAGCCATCAGTGCTCTGAAGTCCCACTGTTTATGAAAAACCAGTGCATGCCGTTATCTCAAACACTGGTCCAAAACTCAGGAAACCTGCCCTGAGTTCTTAGTCCTGGCACCGAGTGCTTTGTATGATCTTGAGGAGAGGACTCTGTCTCAAAACGCCTTGTTTTCCACGCAGCGGGAACAGATGTGGCCCCTTATGCGACTCGCTCTCCTCTTACACTGATTAACGGGCAACATCCCTACAAGTAGATGCCCCCCATGGGCCACCTACAGGCCTGAGGCCCAGAAGCGGTGCCCCCGTTACTGAAGGCGAAATATTAATTCAAGTGTTTCTGGACAAGACAGACATCTTAGTGGAGATGTTTCTTTTGGAAAAAAAGAAACAAGCAAATCTCCCTTTTGGAAAAAAAAAAAAGCAAAACCAGCATCTTGGAAATACAGTCCATCAAGGCCAGAAAGCAAACACTGTAATTTAAAAAGTTTGAAGTCTACCACAAAAAAAACCCTAACAGCTGTTTCAGCCCTAAGGCAAGAAGTCAAATCAGCTCTCGAAAACACTCACATAACGTGTAATTTCAATATAAATAAACTGATACCTGTCTCTCTTCTATTCAATACATGGTTTCTTGGGTTGCGCTGCCTGTATATGTCTTACTATCTACTATCTACATACATCTACTATGGCTGTGAAACCAAATGGGGAAGATTGCTGAAAGAAACCCCAATAAAGTGTACTGGTAGGAAGACACATGGGAGAAACCAGTAGAATCTGCCTTCAATCAAGCTGCAAGACCTTTGGGGCACAAACTGTTCTTCCACACGCTGTATTGTTGCTTTGCTTTTTTTAACTGAAATACTACTGAGCTCACGTGCAAAAGCAACTTCAGATCTGGATAAAGTAAAAACTCCTTCATGTCCTTGATTGCCATAACCAGTGTCCTCTGGTGTACCTCAGCTGCAAGGCTCAAATGCTGAGGAGGACATGGTGCCTATTTCTGATGAGCAATGCTGAAACGTTTTAAAGGATTTGTCCCTGGTGCCTCTGGATGGTCTGTCTGTCTCGTGCTTGTACAGCAACCCGAACACTGCTCCATGGTGGAAATCCAGAGCTGCCACAGTTGCAAACAAGCAACTTCCCCTCCAAACATGCTGCCTAACCACCGTGCTTTGAAAACTGCTTACTTGATGAGATCTATGGTGTCGCTGAATATGCTGTAAGCTGATTTTGGTGCTGGTGCATCCGATTCCAAGGCAATCCCATATTCAATGAAGGAAAGGGCAGCATCCAGGTACTGAAAAGCCTTTCCAGTCTTGTCGGTCTATTGGGAAGAAAATTCTCATTTTTAGACTAAGACAAAACCCACTTCTCTCAAGTGTACCTGAATTCCTTTCTTCTCCCTAGTTAGGCAGGATTTGAAGAAAGAAAAAGATGCAAGTCAGGCCTCTGGGTGATAATTGAAGGGTTCTCAGCAGAACCCCTAATGTGGTCCCAGTCATCAGCTTTGTGTGCTCTGGCTATTTGTATCTCTTCCTCTTGCTCAATGTTTTCCTTGAATAATTTATTACCTTCACCTACTTTGGATAGTATTGCCTGGTCTTGGAGGCCCGCCTTGTGAGAGGCAGGTGGGGCTTTCCCACTGCAGTATTCCCTCACTTCATTTTCACAGGTAAATGGCAAGTAGCAAATGCACATTATCTGACTGAGCCATAATTAGCAAAAAGATATGTTCAGTCATGCACACTGTTAAACTGCACATAGTGGAGAAAGCCAGTTACATCTGCAAAGGGCACTCCCAAGTCTTGTTCACCAGCAACACAATTACCATCAGGATCCTGATGTTTCAGAGTAAACGGTCTTAAAACTAACTGTCCCATCTGTCTTCCAAGGAATTTGTGATAGCTCTGCAAACCAAACAGGCCTGCTAACCTCAGACAACATCAGTTCTGAATTCTATTCTCTAGGCATATTCTCTAGATGTGTTTATAACAAAGGGAAATGTCTGAACATTTGGCAAATAAAGACAGCCTCCCCACATGTGACTTGAACATACTCCAGTATGGAGCATGGAAATAATGTTAGCCAGCGAATCTTATTCACATGCACACAGTTACCAGGTCCAAATGCAAGAACTAGTTAACATTTCTAGCACAGGCCCAAGACTTACCATTGCATCAGCTTTATGCTTCAGCCTCTTGGCCTCTTCTATGTAGTATTCCACTGGATGCTGTCTGAATTGGGGACAGAGATAGGAAAAACAGAAAACAGAGAAAAAGGGTAGGATAATTACCAATTTTACTTTCATATCTAGAGGATGCTACAAGTCCAAACATCCTGTTTTGGTAAGCCCATTACAGCCTCATCAAACGCACGTTACAATTACGATAGTCACTAAATGAATGTTGTCTGCGTGGTCAGAAATACACAGAAGCTGAATGCACAGATAAAATGAATTGATTTCTTAATAAATGTGTGTTAGAATAACACTGAAAACTTGTATCTTGAAGTAAAAAACACTGGAGGTTAGGATACTATGAAGCCAAGTTTACTTCTTCGCTCCCATGGAAAGATAGTAATTACATGATCTCCTATCATTCCTCAAGCACAATACCACAAATACATTTTGATTGAAACATATAGTAAACTTTGCTGTACCACACGCTCAGACCAAAAGAGCTTGCATTCAAGTTATCTGCTTACAAGAGATATGGTCACCAAGGCTTCTACAGGTCTTGGTCTCAATCAACACATAAATGATGATAAAGTTGGACCACACGCATTTCTGTGCACTGGGATAATCTATTCACCATGCAAATGGCACACAGCCACCTGTGCACTAACAAAACGAGCAAGTAAAGAGTCATGCCCTCTCAGAAAAAGTCAGTTGCCTGCCCAGCACCTTGTCACAGAGGAGTTTGCAACTTGTCAAGAATCAGACAAATCAAAACCCATCAGTTGTAGGCAGGCACAAGAGACGCCTCCAGAGTTAAAAAGTACCTCATTTCTAGAGTAGCTCCCTCAATCCAAGAACTGTTGTAATGAGACCTTTGCTTTGTGGTGGGTGGGGTAAGTCCCAGACACGAGAAGGCAGTTCAGGGCAGGTCCCAGGCATCTCTTCCTCTCTCTTTTCTCCCAAAAGAAGCGCTCATTAAGAAGCAGAAGCCAGGGTGGCTGCAGGGCCAGCCTTGCCTGGTGTCTTCAGAAAGTACAGATGAGGGGCGTAAAACAAAAACTTACTTTTCAAACTTGAGTTGAGGTCTCCTTGGCTTGGAGGTACCATTTGGCAAAGAAGGCACTGGGAAAGGATTTGTGACATCCCCTGCAGATCCCTGAAAAAACATGGAGTAGAGACAAAGCTCGTTAGAGAGATGTCTAAACCACTTCCAAAGCCTGCTTTCCTGAATTTCAAGAGAAAATGTTTATTGTCCCAGGCATAGTCTATTCTCCAGGCTCTCTCCTTCTTCTTACCTTCTTCCCCAGCACCCCCTCCAATAATGGAAGTGGAAACTTGGCTTCTTACCTGACTGCTGGTAAGGCTTAATACCATTCAAACTTTTCCCAAGCATGGAGAAATTAAGTAGCAAGTTTCCTTGCACAATGGCTAAGACAGCAGTAAGGCTGCAAGCAGCACATTTTTCACAGCCACTAGCCAAGGCAGGAACAGGTAATATCCATTCACACTTATTTCCAGTTTAACCACAGAGCAATTGCTGATTCTCCATTACTAACTACATTACTAGGACAAAGCAAGCAGTTAGAAGGCAGCTAATACAGCATGCACAGTCTGGCTTAACACACATACACATCCCAGACCACACACACCCAGCCACTAGTACATAGCAATAGAATTCAATTTTATAACCCCAAAATGCAAAGATCCAGCTGCAAGGATCATTAACAATTTTGTAAGCAAGCTATAAAACCTTATACCAGGTTGCAGTCAAAACGACAGGTTGCTTGTTTCTTATTTTTAAGCAATCCAC